CCATCTCACTCAGAAACTAACTCAGGCTAATTTAAGGAGGCACGCTAGTCTAGTGGTAGGACGCCGAGCTCGTGACCGAAGGGTTTCGGGTTCGAGACACGGCACGGCACTGTGTTGTATCTTTGAGCAAAATACTTTACTCCGCTTGTTCCAGTCTACTCAGCTGTAAACAAGTGTGGTAATGGGCAGTGCTGGAATTGTTGAATGCTAGCTGTAACAATTTAGCGCGGAAATGGCAGCACCGGCTGTATGCTCTACAGGGAGTTGATAAATGTATAGACTGGTTGCAAAGACACTATCGCCACGGATAATAACTTGTGTTGAAGCGGTATATAAGTACCTCGAAACATGTTCGGGAAATATTTCAACGACATATCCATATAACAGTTATTTCATAGTCCGCATCTAATTGTTACTTAAATATAGTGATTTCCTGAGTCAAACTAACGTCAACGTTATCAACACGTAACAATTTATGTTATCGATATTATTGAGGATATAATAATGACATATACTGCCCCGGATAGGGATCGATTGTAAAACCTTCCGATCAATCTTTGTTTATTTATGAGACTGACGGGCAAATAATTTAGCAGTTTGTATATGTTATAAGGTAATGAGTTTGCCCCTTTTTATTGAAATAGGAGTAAAGTAATAATCTTTGATATTCGGCTTAATGTCTTCCAAAGCATTCATTATTTCAAATCATCTCTCAAAAGGAAATACAATAGTTAGAAAGTAAATATTCATCGTGCCTTGGTAAACACGTATATGCACTACCATGTTGTTTTGTGATCTGAATAGGGGGAACCTTTCTGGCAGGTAACAAGTTTAACTGGCGGTTCTGCGTGCTCTATAAAGGGCGTCCATTTTATTTTTGAACCAATTGTATGCTTCGTATTGCATACATATAAAGAATAAGGATGGATTGACACACATTCAATGGTTTTGGTATAATATAGAATACAAATAGCCTATTTATTGTTTTCTGCCAATAAAGAGACGATGCTTTGATCATTTAGACGATGCTGTTTGAGTGGCGATACTACAGCGGGTACACAATGAAGGACAGTTATATCGATTCTTAGTTCAGGACAGTTGGACGTTGAATTTCGTCCTAGAAGAAGGTCATGCGGCAAAAAATCGGACTGAGAATAACATTTGAGATATATTATTGGGGAAAAATATGCCGAGGTTGATATTGTGAGAATGTTAAAGTTTTTGGTTGATAATGTCGTTGTTGAGATCAGTGGCAAAATCTTAAAATAGAGTACATGCAATTCTTTGACAATGACCCGTTACTCACTTCTGGTCGACACGTTGCTGTTACCTTTTTAGGCTAAATTTATTGAAGAATGTCTCAGGACTAGTAAAACAATCAGATATAATGGTAATGTGTTGTCTTTACAAAATGAAACATTTACACACCTGTTGTTTTTCTTTTTCATTCCCGTTCTTATGTTACATCATGGTCTACAGCGTCGGCATCCGACTAAGCTATAAGATAAACCTTACTGGTCTTAACACTTACGTAGCTGCTTCCGAATCCTATGTTGTTTACATTTAGCAGTTGTTGTTCCGGTATACGTTCTGCACTATCGTTTTAAATTTCGACGGCTTACGTACAAAACTTACAACACAGGATTTCCAAAGATACAGGTTGATGACGAAAATTGTTCTATGGTCCCCATTACGATTTTGACAGAAAAATATGCATATTGGTTTTTTTGTGATAGCAAGATTTATTTTTCATATGCCTATAAGTAAATCTTGTTGTTTTGTTATCGATATAAGGTAGTGGGTGTTACTTTGGTTTTATCTGGATTGACATATACCATACCCGAACACATGAAGGATTGATGATGTTACCAGAATAACGGTGCATACATCTATGACCCGGTGGTGACGTTTTCATGGTAATGCCGCGAGTGGGCTGCCTTTTCTCGTATGAGAACGGGTTGATCTTCTCCATAGCAAAAATAGGAATGTGTCTTTGAACTGTGGGAGAAATAATACATAATAAATCCAAAGTATGTACCGAACAAATATTTAAAGATGTAGATTGATGACGAAAATTGTTCTATGGTCCCCATTTTTTTTTGTGATAATCAACATCCATTGTGTCATGCCCATTAGTAAGCCTTGTTGTTTTGTTGTCGCTAAGGGTACGTGGTATACTTGGGTTTTCCAATGATTTAAATTTACCATACTGCAACACCTGAA